TTTACAAGAGCCCTCCTCATCCTGACCACAAACCTGTCCCATCTGGCCCACTTATTACCCTCACCTCACTGATCCTGTTTAGCCCAAGGACTCTGCATGGAGAAGAGATTGCAAGGTAAGCCTGGCATGGAAGCTCTCACAACACAAGTAGTGTGATTTCTCTCTCTCTCTCTCTCTGATCCATTTCAATCCCTTCCCTTGGAGTCCCTCCCCAGATTCTTGGCTTACTTCCACACCAAGCAGACAGATCACTGTTTGTTTGAACCAAAGAAGGGTTGACCACCTCTCCCTCCAAACCAGGGACACACTTTTTTTTTCACTCCTTTGCTTTGCATTCTGCTTCTATTACACTGTAGATTGATACTGGCCCTTGTCAGCTCACAGGGCCGCTCATCCTGGGCACATCCCTAGCAGATGTGACCTTTCAAGTAGACCACGCAAACTCCTTTCTTTGGTTCAGAATTCACCAGCATCTCACACACCTAAATGTGAAGGAAGCAGGCTCCACCCAATCTAGGGGTAAGCTCTTTGATCCTCAGCATTTTCATCCCCTTAATTTATTATAGTGTTATCTGTGTCTCACTTCAGACTGCAAATCTTGCCCTAAATCCATGACTCCAACCATCTCCAGGACAGGAGTGAGCAAGCCAGAACATCCATCAACATTTGTTTTTACCAAGAGCACAGTAATGCGCTACCCCTGCTCCTGAAGGATGAAATTCAGTGAGAATGTGAAGAGAGTGTCACTCAAATAAGGAGATTAGGAATTTTAGCTTGCAGACGACCAAACCAAACAGGTGCACATTTTTGTCAATTTTTTCCATTTAGCCTGTGCATACTTTTTTTCATTCTATCCTAGGCTGATCTGCATAAAATTTGGAATCTCAGGTGTCTCACCACAAATGCTCTTGACAACAATGGAATAAATTGAAAAACTACAAAACACACCTAATGGAAACCCAAAAGGTAAGCAATGAGGTACCAGAAATAAAAGAACTGGGAATGGAATGGAAGAACTTGAAGACAACCACACTGACAACAGCCAACAAGAGAAGAAATCTACCAAGTAAGTAAAGGGATCCAGAGAAAATCTGAGAATGGTGTGATATGCTATGAAGAGAAACAACCTACATTACACTGGGATCCCACAACAAGAAGAAATAAGCAAATCTAAAAAGAAAATAATAAGAATCCATCGGGAAAAACTTGTTTTGACCAATATTACAAAAGAGAAGGCAAGAACGATCCAAGAAGCTGAGAAATCCCAAAATAGGATAGATTCTCAAAACCAAAATCCAAACTCACTGCCATAGGCAGTGCTGACTCATAGCAACCTTATAGGACAGGGTAGAATTGACCTCTGAGGAAAAAAGCCATATAGTCGTCAACTTATCCAACTGCAAGGAAAAGGAGAGAAACTTGAAAACAGCTAGAGAAAAATGGACAAACACCTAAAAAGGAAAACCGATTAGCATAAGCTTGGACCTCTCATCAGAAGCAGTCAAGAAGACAATGAAGCAACATATTTGAAACGATGGAAAAATCTGCCAACCACGAATCCTATATTCAGCAAAATTATTCCTCAAATGTGAAGGAGAAATAAAGGCAGTTAAAAAACAAGGAAAAACTTATAAAACTCATTCAAAACAAAAGCAGCCTTACAAAAAAACATTTAGCAGATTTCTATAGACAGATAACCAAGATCAGTAGCACACAAACATGAGACCATCACAATAGACAACACCACCAGAAACCAACTAACTGAAAAAAATCAACCAAAGTAACACAGATCCAGAGGGGATATAGGACATGAATAAACCAAATAATAATAAAATACTAAGCATAAATACTCAAAATGTTAATAACAAATCCATTTTTATCAATAATAACACTGTCAAGAACTGAAAGAACCAATCACAAGGAAAATAATAGTAGACCGTATTAAGAAACACACCCCCTCAAGATGCTGCCTTTAAGAAACACAACTCAAAACAAACAAAAAACAACAAAAGAAAGAAACACACCTCAAATTCACAGACAAAAACAGACTAAGAGTAAAAGAACAGTGAAAAATCTAATAAGCTAATAGCAACCAAAAAAAAAGGTAGGACTGGCAGTATCAATCTCCAATAAAGTATACTTCAAAGTAAACAAAATAATGATAGACAAGAATGGACACTATATAATGATCAAAGGATCATTAGACCAGGAACATATAACCATAATAAACATATACATGCTCAGAAAAATACCCTGGAAATATATAAACCAAATCCTCACTGAAGAGAAAGCATCAGTGCTATAATAATAAGAGGAGATTCCAATACACCCCTATCAAGGACAGATCATCGAGAATGAAACTCAAGAATTGGAAGAGCTGAGCAACATAATCACACAGTTCTACCACTTAGATATCTACTGTATATAATTGAGTATAAGCCAAGTTTTTCAACATATTTTTAGGGTAAAATTAGGTGCCCCAGCGGATATTTGGTTCGGCTTATACTCGAGTATATATGGTATACAGAGTCCTTGAATCAACCACACCAAAATGCACCTTTTTCTTTTGTGCACATGGAGCATACTCTAAAATAGACTACATGCTAGGTCACAGAGCAAGCCTTAACACATTCAAATATATTG